ATAGATCTCACATCTGATGCTATGGGCTACATGTGTTGGTTAAGTGCAACTGCTCTTTACATGTCAATTGCACTTGCCTGCTTCTGTCAAATTGATTTTGCTGGTTTTAATTCTGCAGGTCACTCATTATCTTGGTGGGGAAAATTATGTTTTCTGGGGTGGTAGAGAGGGCTATCAAACCCTTGTGAACACTGATATGGAAAGAGAGCTGAATCATTTGGTAATTTCTTTGTCGGCCCTTTTGTGGAGCAACTGCTAAAACTTATATTTCTGTACAACGTCTTCATTTTCATCTCTTGCTATTTTGTCTATTAGTTTTTATCAAACAGATCCAGCTAAACATTACCACAGACTAAAGAATTTATTCTCTTTGTGGTTATGCAACCTAGTACATTGTTTCATACATAGTTGGATCTCTAGCTAAGTATAACAATTAGTTGGATCTCTTCGCAGGCGAGGTTTCTTGAAGCTGCTGTTGCCTACAAGAAGAAGATTGGTTTCAATGGTATTTTTCTACATTCACTTTGTTGAGTATATATTTTAATTTGATTGATTTATGAGATGATGTGCTAAGAACTAGTAGTTTTGAAGTAGAAACTGTGTTTTAGCATTCCTATGTGCTTATTATCTCTTTGCCTTGACTTATCTAATTCTTTTTCATTATTCACAGGGACCTTTCTCATTGAGCCTAAGCCTCAAGAGCCTACAAAACACCAGTGCGTTTATGTTTTAATGTTTGATTGTGCATTTTAGTCCATAATTTTGGGCATATTCATTTGTTTTGATGGATGGCAGGTACGATTGGGATGCTGCAACATCAGCTAATTTCTTGCGCAAATATGGCCTCATAGGTGAGTTTTACACTCTTGTAGCCCCTATTTTACTAGTAAATGTGAGTATTATTTCTCTTGGAGTGAGTGTTGAAAGTCAAAAGTCCATTGCATCATCAAGCTCCAATCTTGATTTGTCATTGTTTCTGGTATCTTTTGAGATATCAGTGTTCTGCAATTGTGCTTGCCCGCATGGATCGACTCTATAATTGCAGCTAATCGAATCATAAATAAGCATCATGTATACCCTTGAGGACAGTGGAAGAGATAACTTTGCTTTATGATGGTTCTTGTCTTGATGTTCACTGCTTGTACCACCTTCTGCAGATGAATTCAAACTGAACATTGAATGCAACCATGCCACTCTATCTGGTCACAGGTTTGAAAATTTCCTGATTTCGACATTCTAGTTGAAATCTCTACTTTATCTGGCTTTTCAGTTGATTTGAATTCCGATGTGAACAAATGGAATGAGTTGTTTTTACATGCTCCTTTTTGTATTGCAGCTGTCATCATGAACTTGAAACTGCTAGAATAAATGGTTTGCTGGGAAATATTGATGCAAACAGTGGCGACCCTCAAACTGTTACTTGAAGTTCATGATCAATAGTTGTTCTTTTGGTCATGGCAGAGACTTGTTATCCTGTGAAAATCATTTTTGGCTATAGGTTGGGACACAGATCAATTTCTAATGGATATCCAGGAAGCAACCTTGGTTATGCTCAGTGTTATTAGAAATGTATGTACAGTATGGTCTATCTCTTGAACATATTAAAATTGATGGCAAATGTTAAATGATCACTGTTTAACAGTTTACTGTCAATTACAGGGAGGATTAGCACCAGGAGGGTTCAATTTTGATGCCAAATTGTTAGCTTCTTCTCCCACTTTGTTGTTTTAGTCTCATTTCTTTTGCCAATGCATATCCTGTTAATTGCGATGGATTTATTTGTAATTTTTGTCCAGTATGTTTAGATGGAATGGGTGCAACTCGGTTTAGTAGTGCTTTAAAAAAAAAAAAATTGTAGTCAGTGCATAAGTGGGAGACAACTCAAATTTGTAAAACTTCTTTGCACAATTATACGAACGATTTTGATATGGTGGAATTGAAAGTAAACCCACGCCATTGTGGAAAAATGCAGAATATATTTGACCTCTCTGGCCTTTATATCCATGGATGAACCTTGCCTTGCAATGAAGATTCTATTTAGAATTTTGCTTCACAATTTTATTCATCGCTATTTATCAGGCGAAGGGAGAGCACAGATGTTGAGGATTTGTTCATTGGCCACATTGCTGGAATGGATACTCTTGCACGTGGTCTTCGAAATGCTGCGAAGCTGATTGAGGTGATGTTTCTCACTCGATAATTACTTTTTTACTTTCACCTCTCCCTTTCTAAAGATGCTTAAACTTTTTAAGCAAACGATGACGTTTGTTTTGGGGCATTGATCCTGAAAACAGGATGGCTCTTTGGATGAACTTGTTCGCAAGAGATATCAAAGTTTTGATACAGAACTGGGAGCCCAGATCGAGGTGACATTCTTTGGTTTAAGCTTTTAACTGATGCTTTGACTAGTCATCACTTTGCTTCCTTTTATCTCAAACGAATTTCTGATAATGTGTCATAACAGGCTGGGAAGGCGGATTTCGAACTGCTTGAGAAGAAAGCCAAGGAGTGGGGAGAACCCAAAGTTCCTTCTGCCAAGCAGGTAAGTCTTAAGACGAACAGTTCTTATAGCGACTGTTAAGTGCATTTTGCTGTTTTTCACTGACTGAATATCTTGTAAATTGATCTAGGAACTTGCGGAGATGATTCTCCAGGCTGCATTATAGAAGAGAGTCGTTCAACTTAAAAACACCTTTACTCAAAAATGCTGTCCCACCTCCGTACTTCTTCCTCCATGCCCTTGTTCTAGAGAATAATCCCTGGTGCCTTTTAGCAGCAGTACAGGTTGTTGTGCCGAAGAGTCAATGACACATCTCAGCATTATCTATTATATTTTACCTTGTGTAGTTAGCTAAAGACTACTATTTAGTTGATAATTTGATGCCATAGCTCTATAGGAACAACCCCCCCCCCCCTCCTCCTCCTCCTCTCCCTTTCTCTCTCTCGTTGTACCCCCATATGGTGGGAGGCTAGATGAAAATCCTTATCAGACGTTTTTTGGTAAAAATCCATTTGAACAATTCTTGCGGATTAATACTATAACCAAAGATCTCCTGCCCATGTGAAACCACTGCTTCAAGTAGACCGTCACCTGGCGGTCAAATGTCACAGGCGTTTGTTCTCCATCATGCTGGCAGCTTGAGGGGTCTTAGTTTATGTACGAAAGATCGACAGCTTCAAACATCTCACTCCTTCACAATGCACTCGACGGTCAATCCAAGGATATTTTCAACATTCAGGGTGTGGTTTGATCAATGAACCAATCTCTTCAAGAATTTAGAATTTGAAAATTCTGAGTTCAAATACCCCATTTCCCCTGCCTTTGCTGATTTTTTTTTCTCCAAAAGACCAATCAATCTCTCGATTTTCCAATTTACTCTTTTTCTATTTTGACCTATTTCAGCTTCTAAGGACTAGCAGACTTAATTAGAACAAAAGAATGGTTTGGTACTTCCTTTGAATTCTTTTGACTACAAGTAGAATTCGAAATCCAAAGAAGGGTTTAGTCTTTTTTGGTAACCGGTTAGCCAAAGCTAGTGGTTCTTGGGTTTGTCGTACACGTAGGCCCTTTTCTTTTTGTCGTAATTCAGGAGCGGATTGTTGTCATTTTCGCTAGAACTTGTCAAATCATGAAACGGAGAGCTTCTCTGTTATAAAGATATTTTATTTTAGTGGCGTTGATTGTTATTGTGGCTACCTCAATTTTCTGTGGAGGATTGTTGTGGTTTCTTCAATTTTCTGAAACACATTCCTGATGAATGACATCTTTCACGTTATGGTCACAAAATGTACTCCACTAAATTCGAATTTTGATTTTCTATAAGATCCTACCTTTGGAAAGTGCCACCAAACATGTTGAAGTAGCTTTTTTAAAGAAAACTGATTCTCCATTGTGATATTTCCAGTTTTTGCATTTTCTTCCGCCTTAAGAGTGTTACCAACATGAGCAGTGCAACTGTGCAAAGGAACTTTGGGTTGAAAGGACTTGGGAATTTTGATAGTACAGTTAAACTACAGCGCCCTACTCTAATGTGAAAATAGCCAAATACTAATCGAACAGAAACCAGCAAGTTTACAAGCACAGTCCCACCACATTTTTTTTTTGGTCCCACCACGTTAGTAATTAACCATAGGATGATTTTAAAACCTACCGATAGCCATCTTGGTTCAAATTTCATATTCCTTGTCACCCATCACCAATTTGAGGATCTCCAATCAATATACCCCAGGAGATCCATTTTATGAGTCAGAAGCACATAACAGCAGTTGCAATGCAAGGCAGGCAAAGGAATCAGAAGAAGCAAAGTCATGCCGAATTGTCAAGAGCATATTGAAACCAAAGCTGCCACTGGAGGTTAAAGGAAAGAACAGGAACTAAATTGTCAATATTATGTCATTTAGAAGTTAGTAAAACGTCGTCTCCGCTACACCATACATAAGAACACTTAATGCAAGACCAAATTCCAGTTTTCTGGACCACGTGCAATTAAGTTTTACTTGTCAAACGTCAGATAGCAGTTGCTCTAGTTGAAGAGGACCAATTCTAGAGTCTAGACTACAGGTTCTTCGGCCTCCAGCTCTGTGCGAAAAATACATCTAAGCGAGAATTTCAAAAAGAAAATAAAGCTGGAAGACCAAAAAATTACATGCTTTAAAAGACTTAGAGCACGCTTACTTGTAGCTACCTAAAAGAAAATGGGTCTCGCATGCTTCAGACTGACTAGTCTTAGTAAAGAAACAGGAATTCGACATTACTTCACATAATATTTAAACATACTCTGTTGATCACCATGCGTACCACAAGTCATCGGAAATACCGGACAAAAGGGCCTAACAGATAGAAGTAGGGGATTATCATTTGAACCACACTTCTTTCTGTTCTCAAAGAAGCAGCTCCAGAAACACTTCCATTCAAGGAAACAAATAAAACTTTTTCTCACCCATCCCTCAAAAACAAAAAAGTTGCAAGCAAATTCTTGCAAGTAATGTAAGGAAGCATATTGAGGAAGAAATCTTTTGGCAAGTGTTGCATTCTATTAAAGCAAACTTTCAACATCAGATGTCCATAAAGCAAGCTCCCAGCAAGGGAATCAGATGACTCCACAATTAGCATTAAAGTAAGTAGCATCAACAAAAGACTAACTTGTGAAAAACAACTAATACTAATCCCAAAGAAGACTAACTTCTCAAAAGAACAATCACCGGACAACAACATAGGGGACTAACTTGCAAAAACTGACTTGTCAACAAAACAACCACCAGAAAAGAGCCACATTCTAACGAAACATATGCAAGAAATTATGACCCAGTAGTTCATCAACAGATGCCCTGGAATCCACATCCCTAATCAAACATCGCTGAACAAAATCCCGGAACTGTGAGGTAGAATTGGGCAACTCAGGAACAACGAAGTCATTAATAATCTCATTGTAAGTCTGAAACTTATCAATGCAGGGAAAAGGGAAATGTCCCATATAAATTTCCAGCAATAAGATCCCCAAGCTCCAAACATCACTCTTGTCGGGTCGGTCGGTTTTGCGCAGTTGATGCTGCAACATTTCGGGACTACAGTATTGAATAGTGCCGAGGACTGTCAAAATGGATTGCATGTTGCCGATGTCCAATCTCCTGCTCGAACCAAAATCTGCAATCTTAACATTGCCGTAGTTATTTCTCAACACGTTCGCTGGCTTCAAGTCCCTGTGGATGATTCTCTCGTCCCGTAGATAACTCAGACCCGTCAATATCTGTTGCGCAATGTCTGCGATCACATTCTCGTCTTCAGTGTGAAAATCTTTCAAAGATCCATCCATCAGCTCAAACATCATTTGAATCTCGGTTACGCTAGCCCAACCAGAAACCAATTCCACAAGGTTAGGATGATGAAGTTGAGCTAGAGTTTCCATCTCTCTCAAAATCAACGAGCGTTGTTTCTCGCGTTCATCCGTCATACCGTCCGAAATCCTTATCCTTTTCCTCGCATATTCTTGACCGGTATGTTTGTTCCTCACCCTATCAACACTACCCGAAACGCCACTTCCCATATGTGATATAAACTCATAATCAGCGGGATCGAACGCTTGCACGAGAGACGGCATTTTCATCACTTCGGGAGCAGTTGGCTGCGGGATCTGAAGGCTGAGGCTCATCCCCGAACGAGGGCGGTAGCGGGAACGAGCATCGTCAGGAGGCGGACAGTTAGGAGGACCGTCAGCCATTGAAATTTGTACCTGTGAAGAATTAGGGTTACAGGAAGCTGCAAAATAATTGAAGACTAAGGTATGTTAAAAGTCTTTGTCCCCCCAAGTTAGGATCCGTCCATTGAACTATCCCCTTTCAATGAACCAAGGTATGGAACTCAGAAGTGCTTATCTGTGCCAGGAATTAATCAGTGCATGACCAGTTCCTAAAACCAAAATTTAAGCAGAAACCAAATTATATCAAACAAATCATGATTTGAGTGCAGATTCTACTTGTTGAGCCCCATAACATGTGCAAAATTAGAACCAAGACAGTAGAAGTTGGGGAAATACTCTTTTAACTGGTCTTTGGTCCTAACTATGATAGTCACTAACATGACAATACAGTAAAAGTCAAAAACAATCGATGAAATTAATGTTTCTAGGTCTATCAAAGTATTATTTCCAATGGAATTTAAAGATAGTTCGAGCCATTACAAGACATTAAAGGATCATTCAGCATACAAACACAAAGGCAAAAGTAAAATCATTTTTGTTTAGGACCAAACAGTAAGCTAAAGATCATCTCTCAAATCATCTAATACTCCATAACAATGGGACACGTAATTTTTCAGAAAACTAAACCAGTGTAGTGGTAAAGCTACCTTTAGAAGCAAATCATCAAACACAAAGCATGCTACTATTGTAAGAGATGATCACACACCTTAAACACTGGATGTTTGCTGTGCTTCTTCTTGATTCTTTAAAACTTACAAAACAATCAATAATAAAAAAAGCAAACAGTTTTGCTAGGAGGTCAATTTTTGGTCAAAAAAAGGCTAGAAAAACTCAACAATAAATTCATCAAATGGCTGAAAATTGATGCGAAAGTGTGAGTTTTTCTTTGTGTTTTTGGCTAGGAAGGCAAATAGGGGTGGGGAGGGGAGATGTATAGTGCTTTCCCCTCTTTGATTCTCTCCTTTTTCTGGGAAAAAAAAGAATTGCATGGTTGGGAGATGAGATAGGGTACATATAAGGTATATCAGAAGGCCAAGCATAAATTGGGGGGGAAAATCACTAATTTTTTGGCCAATAAGAATTTTTTTAAAATATACTTTATTGATATTTCGATGCCTTAAAATACCACATAAAACCAGTAAAGCGCGGCTATATCTTCTTAAGAAGCATAAGCAAAAACTTATCATAAGAGTAAATAGCCAAACATATAGGCACATAACACTAATATTAAAATATTTAAAATATCAGCCCATATAATATTAACAAAAATTTCAGCAAATTAATGATACAAATCAGAGGTAAACTAACCTGGAATGAACAGAAATTTTACTGCAAAACCTTTTCTATTTTCAGACCAAAGCTGAAAATTACAAAAAAAAAATTACTTATCAGTATATATGTCCGTGGTGCAAAAAAATAAAGAAAAAAAGAATGGCAAGAAATGTATTTACCAGGATGCAAGGGAACAAACGGCACCAAACCACTTGCGAGGATTTTCCACTTTCCAAACAAAGCTGAAAATACAAAAAAAAAAAAAACACTAATTGTGTAGCATTCGTGTCTCTGCTATGCGAAGTATCCAAATGACTGCTTTGTAAGTTGCAAATATGTAGAACAAGAATATGCACCTTGCTTAGCTATGTGACAAGTCATGTGTACTCAATTTCTATAAATCCACTCAAATCTGCCCATGTCACATTTTACTTCTTTCCCCAACCGAATTAGAACCATTCTTTGCACAATACACCCACCCAAGAACCACTTTATTTCCTATATGTTACCTCTCTCTCTCTATTAAATGTTGGACATTTGCTAGATGCTTCTAGTTTAGTACCTGAAGGGTGTAAGTGGTACAAAGTGCTTGTGATAATATCTTGTACAGGGGCCTTGGTCTTTTTCACCTCAAGTGTAGAAGTGCTTGTTACCAGATTTAATTTTCTTGTGCATAGCGTTCCTGTGCTCATCTCAAATTGTGATCTTTGTGTAAGTTTAGTAATGGGAAAAGGTTACCTTATTTTGATTTCAGACCTCTAAGAAGCTGTGAGATGATCGTCTTAGTGTTTTCAATTTTTTATGCTGAGATTATGTGACAGATGTTACAGACTTAAGATAGTGGTTTTGGCAAGAGTAGAATTAGGAAAATTTTATATTAAAGTGCAAGGTTAGGAGTTTTTTGAGTTGTTTACAAGAAAAATAGTACCACGTAACAACAAATGCCATCTTCCATTTAGAGTGTATAGTTTTTTTTTTATTTCTCAGTCTATTTTTGGCAAATGGTGTATTACTCGAAGATAGTACTGCAGATCTACAGAGGGCTTGGCAAACATCTAATATGTACCTTTATCGCATTATCTATAGTTGTCTCTTTTCTGCTAGTTAATACTATTTGTACCTTTATAGAAAAAAATTGTGTAGTTCTTATGTAAATCCTGGAAACTACTTCCGATTGCTATAGGCATTGGTTTAAAACCTATATTCCTCTGCATTTTAGATACAAAATCTGCAAACTTTTTATTGGTTTTGAAAAATATTTGCTAGTTAAATGAACTATTATACATCTGAGATCTTCAATGTTACAATGAAAATATGTCAATTTAGTATTACTACCCAATGACATATGCCACTATGAGCTTTTTGGACGTGTACCAAGCTTGCTTCTTCTTCTTGATATTCATGAACAAATGTTTCTCTACACTGGTCTCTCTCTGCCATTATCCTGTAGACACTTTGTTTCCGTAAACACTCATGTACAGGCATGGTACTTTTACGTCAATTTGTAACTCTTGCACCAACTCTTTCACAAGTACTCCTGCTCTGTTCTCAGTGCTGCAGATTGGAGATATGCTGCTGAACAGTTTGTGAAAAGAGTTCCTGACAAAATTATTGTTCATCGTAAGTTAAGCTTTTTCAAAAATGAAAAAGGTTTATTTTTTCTATTTTTGAATAAATTCTTCATGTTATAATATCCTTGCTTAAACAGGTTTCAGAAGATTTTGCGCTTTGTTTGATGTTGCAATTGGTTTTGAAATGCTTAAAGTTGTTTCTGAACTTGGTTGATTGGTTATCCCACCCCCCCCTTTCCTTTGGTGATAATAATAGTTGATATGTTATTTTTTACTTGAGACGCAGAGATTGGAGTTTTGGGGTTTACATAATATACAGATTGTGTTTCTATTTGCTTTAGCCAATATCGTGTTTAGTAGTTATCTAGTTCTCTTGTTGGTTTTGCTGATAACAGATGCTTTTCTTCTGTAAGGTCTTAAAATTTTGTTTGACACTCAATTTTCTTTAGGAAAAGTTTTGTTGTTCTCTTTCTTTTTCATTCTGAGAATTATTGGAATGTGTAGTGATGTTTTTTCCGTTAGCTTTCCATTTCAAGTTATACTTAACTTTCTTTAGGAAAAGGTTAATTATTCTTTTTCTTTTGCAGTTTTTTCTGGAATGTGCATTGATATTTCTATCTTCATGGAAGATGATTAAATTATAGAGAAATGTGATTATATTGTAGCTTGATGTATACCAGGTAGTGAATGCAATACTTCAAAGCTGACTTTTGATGGTGTTGATTTGATGGGGGAGAGATTAGCTGAAGAGGTATTTTGCTAATTAGCATTTATCATGCTTCCATTTTTGTTGTATTTCTGGTTACTGGAACTTAGTTTAGTAGAAAAAAGCTATACTTTGACACCATAATATCTAGAGACTGATACACTTCTGTCCTTTATAGTGCAGGTGGTCAATGTTGTAAAAAATTGGCCTGGCTTACACAAGATCTCTTTTGTTGCCCACTCATTGGGTGGCCTTATTGCTAGATATGCCATTGGAAGATTATTTGAACTTTCTGCTAGGATTGGAAATGCTGACCAAAATGAGCCCTCTTCAGTATTGGAAGCAAATAATTCTGCAAAACTCCATGAACTATGTTATGAAGCAAGGATTGCTGGACTGGAGCCTGTAAATTTTATAACATTTGCAACTCCGCATTTGGGTTCCAGAGGACATAAGCAGGTTTCTTCTGTTTTGATATTGTTTCCTGTTGCAAGTAAATTAACTTCCTTTTGTAGTATGTTATTGTGTATAGCTGCTTTTCTTCTGTGGTTTTGTATCAATATTCACCTATTAGAATTGATGAGAATGAATATGGCTCTTGGTCTCCTGATATGATAAAATCGCAAACAGGTTTGAGATTATGCGTATCAAATCAAATTGTGGATCTTAAAATGAGGGTTCAATTTACATCCTGGTGGTATCTGCAAAATTTGCACGCTAGCACTTCCTCAAAGACTTTATCATTCAGACTGACTCAGAGTCCATATATGTGCCTTAAAAACAAATCTAATGTGTTGCACTGTTGAAGCCTTTTCTTTGATATTTTTTTGTCTCTCTGCTTCATCAGCTCCCACTACTTTGCGGTCTTCCTTTCTTAGAGAGAAGTGCATCTCAAACTGCACACTGGATTGCAGGGAGATCTGGTAAGCATTTGTTCCTAACTGATAACGACAATGGAAAGCCTCCTCTCCTCCTTCGGATGGTTGAAGACTCGGATGACCTCAAATTCATGTTTGTACTAAACTTCCATAACCTGATTCTTGATAAGCAATAGTGAAGGAAAAAAGAAGATTATCATCATGATTTGAATAACATCATTTATGACTTATACAGGTCAGCTTTGCAAGCTTTCAAGCGTCGTGTGGCATACGCAAATGCAAACTATGATCGTATCCTTTGTTGGATTAATCCACACTTTGCAAGTCAGATTTTTCCTTTTTATACACAGAAGTTCCTTTTTATACACACTTTGCGTCTTGTGGTCTACCTTTACTGATCTTAAGATATTGTTGGCTGGAGAACATCATCAATCAGACGCCAGGATGAACTTCCAAAGGTGCTTCGCTGTCTCTTAAATTGATTTATGTCTGTCGTACATTTCAACTTCCATCAACTGACTGAACTCTCTTTCTATCTAGGCTAAACTTCTTCTGAAAAATGAGAAGTACCCTCACATTGTTCACGTTGATCAAGGAAGCATGGAAGCCAATAATAGCAGATCATTGTCCATGGTCGGAACAGAAGTAATTGATTTGGAAGGTGCTTTGGCTTTCCTGTGACTGTACATTGTTTTGCCATTTTTACTCATCCTTGATGTCCACTTGTGCCAATATTCAAGTTCTCTTATGTCACAGTTATGAAGAAAGACAAAGTTTCCCATGTTTTTGCTTTTGAGTGTATACGCTCAAGGATAGTTGCACAAGAAGATCTGTAATATTGAAATTTCAACTTTCTTCAAGCCTAAAATGCATTGCTGATTCAACTATGGGATAGGTGGGAATGATCAATAAATTTGTTTCTCTTAGGATACACTGGACAATGTTTCTCTTACTGGATTAATAAACTTGTTCATGTGGAGTAGTGAAAGATTCCAAATATGTTCCTTGGGGTTCTTATGATAGAGGAGAGGAAAAGAGGGAGGAGCAATGGGGTGGGAGCAAGAGTCCTACCATCCTTGTTTGTTCAAAGAGGTGGGGAAGCATGAAAAGTCTCAGATTCTTATGATAGAGAACAACGGAAAAGAGGGAGGAGAGATTGGATAGGAACAAGGTAATTTTAGATGGGGAAGTGTGGAAAAGAGGGCGGTCAGATTGATATGGTGATGGTTTTTTTTCCCATCCATTGTTTTCATTTTCCTTCCATTTTTTCCCCCTTTTTTTTCATTTTTTTTTCTTCAAAGAGCTAAGAGCTACAGGTGTTTGGTGTCACTTGGCTTCTTGAAAATAAGCATCCTTGTTTTGTGAAAGTTTTTATTAATGAGTATAAACATTGTTTGAATACTAAATAATTAATGGGAGAGGATCACTTTGGTTGTAAGATCAATCTTCTATCTTATTATCTTGGTCCTTTGATGTCACCAGAAATTAGAACACAATTACAATAATTTAGGTTGGTATGATCAAATAGAATATCTCATTTAAGAGCAATGAGTTATAAAATATTTCCCATCTTCTAGTAGAAGAATTTGGTCATATTCCTTCTGTCTGCGTTAATGGTGATATCATAAATACTTACTGAAGAAATCCATATTCTGGAAACTTTCATGTGCACCATTCTTGTAGAAGGTAGAGTTCTGACATTCTGTCTCTCACAGAAGCAAAGAACGATGGCATGAATTTTTTGGTTTTGTCAATTGTCGGGCATAGACAGTGTTCTTTTCTAAATATGGCTATGTTTTCTGTCACTTGCTGAGATTTATAATGTATCTTTAGGCTTAAAAGTAAATTTGAATTACTGAACCATCTCTGTGGCCCCTTCTTTGTGATGCTCTTGCAGCACTATAAGTAGCAGTTTCTTAAAAATATAAAAGCAGATATACATGTTACTTTTAATGCTGTTCTCTAATGATGATGTTGCAGGAATAGTCACACAAGTTCAAATCAATACTATATGCAAACGGACTTTTGCTTCCCCTCCCCCTTTTGTCTGTATATAATGGGTCAGTCCATTGTGATAAATGTTGTAAAGTAAATAGTAGATCATATTGCTAAGATGATGTTGAAGAAAATAAAACATAATCAT